TAAATTATTTATTATTTATTTTGTCAGACTGTAGCCTGAGAGACAGCTGCCCCTGGAGTGGTCATTAATGAGCTATCTGGCCGGGCAGGGCGCGGCTCCTATGATCCTGACCCAATCTCAGATCCTAATCCAAGGAGGAAGGAGGCTGCAGGCCAGGATTTGGCAGCCCAGCTATCTCACTCTCTATAATTGATAGGTTTTAGGCGATTATATGCTTCACGTGATTAAGATCTATAACGATGTATTGATCGGACTGCACTGGGATTCGACCAGGGGGTGTGAGACATCCACGACTACCCGCTCCGCCCCCCTTGCCCCCGACCGATGGTTTGGCATTTCGATATCTGACATTAGATAAAAGTGCGCGAGTGTGTATCTGTACACATGTGTCTTTTCCTCCCCGTACGGCGTACCTGCAGATGAAAGGGATGAATGTTTGAGTTTATAAGTACATACATATTTACAGTGTGCGCGTGCGGAAACATGCACATCTATCAATCCGGGGATCAGAAGAGGAGCTGGATTGGATTTTGTAGGTTAGGCTGAGAAGCCTGTGGGTGGGTGATTATTAATTATGATAGCTGTAGACTCAGATTTTATCCTGCAGTCGGAGACCTGTGAGACATCAGCTGAGCTGGGTTGGCTGACACTGAGACAATCAGGAACATGGATGATGTGGCACTTGATGGGAACAAGTTGGGGAAAAAGCACCACTTTCATCTGCGAGCATCGGGGATGCTCTGTAGCGCTAATACATAACTAGCATAAATATGCAATTTCTTATTGAAGTATAATCTTTTATGACCGATATTTAGGTTATTGGCTAAAAAATGTATTTGAAACTGCTGCTTGCTAAGCTACAAGCTAATCAACTAGCTGGGCTACACTTTAAAACAAAAATTAGCTATGCTACAAGCTGCTAACAAAAAAATTGCTAAATACATTGAAGCTTTTTAACTGTCAGGATCTGATTTTTAATTTTTTTTTACAATAAATACAGCTAATAAAACAAAAAAAACAATTCTGAAAATTATAAACTGCAGCATTTCACAAAAAATTTACTTAAGATGACGCAAAAACTTAAATGATTAGAAGAATTGCTTATAGGATTGGTGAATCTTTTAATTGATCAGTAAATCAGTTTACCTAAATCATTTGAACAAACTGATTCATTAAAATGAATCAGACCTCAAAATAGGAGATACTGGAGCTTTTAGGAAAGCGTGTTAGATTTATTTAATTTGAAAGGAATAAACATGACAAAATACAGCTAATCAAACTATAGTTAATTTAGTAGTGTTGCTACTTTTGTTTTAATCCTTAAAATTGACAAAAAAAATCTTAAAGGAATTAGTAGTATGAAATATAAATAATAAATAAAATATGAAATATTGATATGTGAAGCGTTTTATTAAAGGGGTCATATGATGTTGCTAAAAAGAACATTATTTTGTGTATTTGGTGTAATGTAATGTGTTTATGCAGTTTAAGGTTAAAAAAACACATTATTTTCCACATACTGTACATTATTGTTTCTCCTCCATGCCCCGCCTTTCTGAAACGCGTCGATTTTTACAAAGCTCATCGGTCTGAAAAGCGAGGTGTGCTCTGATTGGCCAGCTATCCAGTGCATTGTGATTGGCCGAATACCTCAAACGTGTGACAGAAATGTTACGCCCCTTGCCATATTGTGATGCCTTGTCCCGGCCGGAGCGATGAGAAGCTTGCAGCAACCACATGTGACGACCCCGGGCTGGACTCCGCTTCATCCACGGTGAAAGCTGATCTGGCGATCCACAGTGTGAAGTTGTTGTATTTCCTCAGCGACCAGCACGGATCAGCTCTAGGCATGACGAAGCGGATATCGTCCTCTTTTGGAAGGCCAAACAAAGTAGTTTCACTTTCACAACGAAACACACAGCGCCTTCACGACATGGCAGCGGCGGCGGCAACAACAATACTACAGCGAGAATAAAAGTTATGCCTTCTTTCTTTG